AGAGAGAGAGAGAGAGAGAAACAGACGGCGAGAGTGGGGGAAGGAAGTGTTAAGTCAGTTGGGCAAAAAATAGATAGAACAGGATGCGAGTGAAAAAAAAAAAAAAAACAAACTTTGGTAGGATGTTATTTATCTTGTCCACAGCACTACTATTATCTCTATTCAAAGACAGTTAAGTGGCCTAACAAGCGAGTGTTTTCCTGCACACTCACACCACACGTTAGTTAATCAAACTAAAAAAAAAAAATAAAAAAAAAAATCATGAAAAGTCACGTGCACATAAAGATTAGTTGAAATAAATACACAAGGACTGCACAAAACCAAAAACGTGGTTTCTGCACATGCACGGGTTTGATTTAGACACTGAGGAACCATACATCCTTCCTAACATCCAAACACAGTGGGTTAGGGCATGACAAAGGGGCAGTTGATTAAAAAAACAGTTTGACGTAGATTGTGATCTACGGAAATCTATCTCCTGATACCGTGGCAACAATTAACACAGTGGTCCTTTCAATATTCCCAAAATCAGCTGGTGCGGAAAAAAAAAAAAAAAAAAGTAGGAAGGTGGCTGCGAGGCACTAAGAGAAAAGAAAGAAAGTGTGGGTTAAAGGTGCAAATAGGAAATAAAGAAAGGAGAGGAAATTTGGACTTTACATGGCGGGAGTGAATCTGAGCAGCAGAGTGAGGGAAGAAGAATAAGGAAGGTAAATTATTTAATGTAGAGGTAGCTTCTGCTTTTGATGTGAAGGGTTCCGTCTCCAGGCAACCACACAGAGCAGTGCAGACTGACCAGCGGGGCCAGCGGCTATCACGGTTAGTCTTCAATTGCACTGTGCTAAATTATATTTTGGGTTAATGGCTTTTATTCTGATTACTCCACAGAATAAAAGCTGCATGTGAAACGTGTTCTCGTATAGTACAGTTTACATGACGAAAGTCTAAGTCCAATCTGGCTTGTTCCAATTCCAAAAAAAAAAACCATTAGCTAATAATGTTTATAATTGTAAATATTGCAAATCATTGTAATAACTGCATAATTATATATATATATATTATTTATATGTAAATTGAGTTTTTTCCACAGGTTGAGGACAGGTGAGAGTCCGCTTGACCACAGCTCTCTGTCAAACTTTAATCCAGCTGCCACTGAGCGGCTCAGGACACGGAGCTGTGAAATCACCTGATAAGCAGATGGTTGAAAAAAAAAACACAATCAACTTATTAAAATAAGAGCGAAATTGTTGAAATACACAAAACTCATTTATGATATAATTCGATTTATAAGCTGGTGGTGTGAAAGAAAAGTGAATTACTTTTCTTGTCATTGTGACACAGCTCACCACTGCACACAACCAAATGTGACCTCTGTTTTTAACCCATCACCAAAGTGGACAGTGGTCAGAGCACCTCAGTGGGAACTTGGCAGTTTTCTTCCTTAACCACCAAGTCACCGCTGCCCCACAAGAGGTCACTAGCCTTCAAAAATAAAACAAACATTTTTATAAGGATGACCAATAATATCGGCCGACCGATATTATCAACCCAATATTAGCATATTTTGTAAGAATCATTATCGGATTTTCCTCCAATTATGAAAACCCGCGTGCACTGTCCCGGTGACAGACCAGTCAGATGCCTCAGTGCTCTGAAGAACTTTGAATAAAATGCCATTTCTGTAACTCGTTCTAAACTCTTTTACTTTATTCCTCTCAACCCAGCGTCTCCAAAAACGCCTCTTCCTCCTCTCACGTTTTCCGCACTCTCTTGTCCTCGTACGCTCACTGACCACACCTCCTCACTCCCCCTCCCATAGCCTTAACTGTTAACTACTTCAGAACGCTAAACAAGCCTCTGGTCACTAGATGGCAGCATTGTAGCTCATTTTGCTAACCTATATTGATAATCAGGGGATTGTATGCTGTTGCCAGCAACACATACAGCGATTTCCACAGATAAATAGATAAATATTACCAGGCACTTAATAGTATTTCAATTCTGTCCCCTAGGGGGCAGAAAATAATTAAAAAAACACCGTGTGCAGGCAACACTTAACTTGCCTCGCTATCGCGGTATTGGTTGATATCGGAATCGGAAAGTATTTGGAGAAAAAGTTAATATCGTACAGCTCTACATTTTTATTTTCTGCTCCTCTTAAGTTGTCGGTTGATATTTTTGAAATGATAAGTAAATGTATGTTTCCTTTTACACTCGGCTCCTTGGAGAGAACATGTTAAATGCAAATGAAACAATTATGCACTTTGCGACAAATTTCCCTCCGAAGCTCCATGCATAAGAGACGATAACTATTTGTGGTAGAAGCTCTGTAATAAAATATCATCTACATATCTGGTAGCAAAACTCTCCGGGGACATTCAATGACATCCTGGGAAAGGTCAGGGACCAAACACATCGACTTAAAGCTACTTACAGACACAATCAAACGCACTTAGCCTGCGTCTTGAAGTCCCTGATAGTGCGTACAAGTGTGTGAGTGCACTTTGGTGACTGTATGCATTCATGCATCCCTGCATGAGTATGTGTGTGTTGAGAAGAAGGTGAGGTGTCTGATAAATAGCTTTCATTTGGTGCAGGTAAGCTCCTTTCCAACACCTGCTTTATCGTCTCTGCTCAGGAGGGAGAGTGTGGGTCCATGTCTGTATGTGCAGCATTTATGTGTGCGTTTGGCGGGTGAGATAGAGAGCGGGGATAGTGAGCGGGAGGGTTACGGGGGGGCAGAGGAGGAATAAAAACAGATAGCTAATCTCAAACTTCATCCTGAAAGCAGGAGAAAAATGAGGGCAGCTGAGAATGGAGCCGTAAAATAAATTGGGATTTGAATGCAGAGAAGATTCGTCCTTATCTGAACCCAATGGCTGCTCAGCGCGGGCGGCGTTTCCTGTCAAGGGCTAATGAAGAGAAAATAATAGCAAGGAAATGAGTCATAAACATTCAGGGTTCAGTGAATTTAGCTGAGGTGTGGACATTAAGTCACTGTAATCCAGCTTAGTGTATCAGGGCTTTTAAATCAGGAGACTCTTTCTCATTGGCTTAATGAAGAGGATTTTCATAAAAAAAAAAAAAAAAAAAAAAAAAAAACAGCTTCTGAGGTGAGTCTGTGTAGTGACAGATGGACACGGGTTTTAAGATGGGACTTGATTTAAAAAAAAAAAAAAAATCGAAATAATTAGTGGCTCTGTAATTAATTAATCAGAATGAATCAAAATGTCATTACTGTAATTGCGATTAGTTGCATACATGCATTTAAAACAACAACCACAATTTCTCAAATTCAAACAGATTTTGGTGGATAACTGAATAAATGAATAGACAGATAAATGAGTTCACATTTTTTACGTTCCGCCTTAATCTTTTTTTTTCCCTCCACGCTATGGGTTTATTTTTCACATGTGGTGTGCAAATACATGTACAATACAAATATGTGTGTGTAAAAATAAAATGTGCTAATTGCGTCATTTTTTTTCAACACATTTTTCTGTAATTAATCTTGTTAATGTCCCATTCCTACTTTGTATATGGATGATATTGATGATAAAATGTTTTTTTTTTTTTTTATGATATTACTGTAGAATAAGCTTTAAAATGCAAGGCCATTCCTGCCATACATCTGGTGTTGTGCTGCGTATTTACCGCTGGACAAAACAAGATTAAAGTTAATCACTGCTGCAATTTAGACGTTTTTAAACCGATCGACACTCACGGCCTCGAAGCCAAAGCGGCGCGTTGACAGTAATAACCCAACTTTGACAAAGATAAAAGCGGACGTTTTCTTCAATGTGATGGATCACCCATCTGAACGCAGCTTCACGTCTGGACAAGGTGAATTTTTATTTCGCGGTGAAATAAATTGAAAAGGATGTAGATCTGGTTAGAATGTCTGCGCTACAAAGTGAAGTCCTGACCTTAAACTTCCTTTCAGACAGCAGACAGACACCGGCAGCGATCACGAAGCATTTTTTGTGTTTTTTTTTTTTTTTTCCTTTCAGTGACCAAAAGGGTCAAGTAATATGAATTCCCCTGAAAATCTAAACAGTTCCAACATGTCCAACAACCACTGAAAGCAAAGGAATCCCGTCAATAAAACCCAACAGTGTAAAAAAGTTGAAAACTTGGACATTCTTTTACTCTGAATGAGTTCTACTCTTTGATTGACACTGTATGTGTGTCTACCTGCTATAGTTGGACTTTTTGGGACAATTGGTTTGAAAACTACTACTGCTGACATACGGACAATTTCTCCTTGAGTCATTTTATGGAGTGAAGGTGAAGTTTGAGGTCAGGATTAGAATTACTGTCAGATTAGTGTGAAAGCTAGGGTGGAAATTTGGATTAGGCTCACAATCTGAAGAATAAAAGATTCAAAGGACAAGGACATCTATTATGAAGTACTCAAAAAAAAACCCCAAAAAAACGAGTGTGTGACAGCAAAAAAAAAAAAAAAACGAGTGTGTGACAGTGTTTGTGTGTAAGTTTCACCTGGGTGCTGATGATTCTCTGAGATGATCTCTCTATATTGGCCGGCAATCCAAAAAATGCTGGTCTGTCATCTTCTGGAAGATTTTCTATGACACTGCGATAATCCTGAGGACACACACACAGACACATCACACAAAGAAATACACACCTGCCTAGGAAAGTGATCGTCACAGAAAGACCGTGTCCTCCTCTCAACCTACCAGTATACTACAAGAACCAGGAAGGCTGATCTGAGATGGAAAGACGCGCGTCGTTCCCAGGCCCCTTCTCTGACCGGCTGAGTGAGAGCCGGAGAGGAGGCGCGCTGAGAAGAACTGCTCAAGGTACGAACGCAAGATACGCAAGTCCGAGGGGTTGTCGATGCGTCCGCCGTAGATGGCATTCTCCAGCAGGCCATGCACGAAGTCCCACTGGAACTGTTTACCACCTTGGACACGAGTGTAGATTGTTAGCTGTTCGCATGTGAACAGTATACACAATGATGGCTAACGTGCTAGTTTCCTCACCTTCAAAAAGCCTGTCAATGATCTCAAACCCAGCTCGCAGATCCGATAAAGAGAACTCGTAGAATTTAGTCCAACCCTGAAAAGCAGAGACGAGTTCACGTTTATATGTCATGACATAAAAATAATTAGAATCGTAGAGTAACTTGCATGACTTAGCAGGCACAAGAGTAAGCCAACAATATTCATTGATAGGCAAAGTCAATTGTCGCCACTTTCAGCCTCAATCTCATGGCCTTTTATATGAAAATGCAGACTTAATTAAAAAGCGTGACATTCTACTTAACAGGCCTCAGAAGACCGATCCACTTTTATGCCGCTCGGCAAAGCCTGGCTTGTAGATTGATTTATATGATTTTTAATTAAATACTGTTGCTCTTGATTGCGACGTGATTATCAGTTATGAGTGTTACATGAAAAAAAAAAAAAAAAAAAAACATCTATTATCTTTTTTGCCCATTCACTGACAGTCAGTCAGAACTGTAACAGACTGTGAAAATGCAACCAAGTTAAAGCCTGTTTAATTATTTCAAAGTGTATAAATGGCTGCTAGGAGACTCGTTCCATTTCAAAACCCAGTGCAACCGGGTTTATTAGCCTGCGGTTCCAATCACTGTTACAACTGGTGGAATGCAATTGCTGTAATGGCTGTAAAGTGAAAGCAACAACATCCTATTATCATTTCATTTCCATATACTCTCTAAAAAAAAAAAAAAAACATCAATTCACAAAACCATCTTTTACTGATGTCAGTAAGTAAATCAACGTTCTTTCTAAAAAGGCAGAAACAAATAAGTATGTATGAACACGTGCCGCAACGAACAAATAAGTATGTATGAACACGTGCCACAACGAAAAAAACCAAACAAACAACAACAACAACACAAAGCAATTAGATACTAATTAAACAGCGCTTTGCATAATTTTGACTAATTAAATGCGTACACCTTGGTGCATGAACCAGCATGAACACAAACATACATAAATGACTGCAGAGGCAGGGAAACAAATGTCAATATTTGTTTAGTCAGTAACTAATGTTTATTCTGTCTGCTGATCTGAGCAAAACACTTTTTTTTTTAAATAAAATTTGGATTTCGTGACAGAGAAACACTCGCCTTAAAGGGGAAATAAAAAAAAATAATAATTGAAAGGGGTTTATGCACATATCGTAGCGTCTGTAGGAGTATCAAATCCTTAACAGACAGTTTCCACAACAAAATCTTTCATAATCTGCAATAGCTGAAAACGCATCAAACACTGCCAAACACCCAGAAGTATTCAGGGTCTTGTTCTGGGTCTGAGTCTAGCTCAAACATAATGTGGTTAAAACTATTTTCTGGTGTCCTTGCAGTTTAGCATACCTGCCAGACTGTCATACAATGCCATGGCCATGTGAAAAAAACAACAAAAAAAAACAGCCATTCAACCGCTGTCACAATTACAAGAGCCCTCCTCTCGTCCTTCCTGGAGAAGTGGTGGCCGGAATATGCGGTGGATCGTTAGCATTTAAAGGTAAAGGTATGTGGCAGTACTGTAGAAGTACAAGGTTAGTTGGCTAAGTAGGCAGTGAGGCTTTTACTACACATTGAATGAATAATTTTTATCAAATATTTGTGCAGGATCTGAGTTATCCAGGGAGACATCGGTACTGGTTTGGTTTGTTTTTTGATCACTGATCATATGACATCCTTGCTGCACATACGTAAATATGCAGTAAGAGCAAGTAAAGGTAATGTCAAAGGATGAGGCAACATAAGTGGTTCTCAAACTGTGGTGCGCGTACCACTGGTGGAACGTGGGCGCTCTCTAGTGGTACGCAGGGAAAATTCACATTTTCACATTTACATTTTCAATTGAATAAATCTGAAACATACCATGCACATCTCTGTAAACATGTATAAACATCTCTCCTGTGTGGTGGAAGCTAATAGGGAAGGCCTCTGTTGCTATATTCTAATGTTGGTCATCATGGTGGTACTCAGAGAGCTCAATGTTTTCTCAGGTGGTACAGAGTATAACGAGTTTGAGAACCACTGAACTAGACAGCCGCAAAGAATCGGGTTATATGTATTATAGAAATATAGAACTCGAAATTGCTGCGGAAGAAAAAAAATGAAGGGAAGGGGGAAGGAGGGAACACGCGTACAAAAGAAAGTCAACAGCAGTAACTTGAGAAATACTATCAAAGATGTACAGTAAGAGGAGGAGTACTAGACGGAGCCAGGCTCGCCTGAGAAATAGAAGACATGCTACACCCTAGACATGTATGTAAGGCTATATGATTCATAGGCAATCAATGTATTTTCTGTCTCCTCCAAGCCTGCATTGCAACCAAGAGAATGATTACAGCATTATGTTATAATATTGGAACCAAGCGCTAGGCAACAGGGCGGAGAAAGATAAAAAAGAAACCACCTAAAGAAAACAATTGCCCATATAAATTAAACAAAAAATGTTCTCTGCTACAGTTTCCCCCCCGTGTTTCACTTTAAATGGA